TCCTAGAGCGACGACGACGAGGAGCGGTGAGCTTCGTACAATCATTCGATCCCCTCAAAGCCAACGAACAACATCCAACTTTTCCAACAAATTTTTAGTGAATATTCGAATGCACGACCAAGGACGCAACCGCCGCCTCCTCGCTTCCACTCCCCAACAACGTCACTTGGCATTCAAATTTAACGGTATATTTTCATAAACCTAGAGCACCTCTAACACCACTAACACCACTAATGTCAACGTCAGTCAGTCGGCGTTGTTATTATTAATTCAAATCTGCCGTTTTCCCCTCTATGCGGCATGCGATTTTCATTCGTATGACCGTCTCTAGGCCACCAATTAGCTCCACAAACACGACTCAACATACATACAAACAAATAAACAAATAAACAAATAAACAAATAAACAAATAAACAAACAAACAAACAAACAAACAAACAAAAAAGTCGCTCTCTATGTATTGCGGGCATCATTCAAACTCCCCTTGTCCCCACAATTCGACAACCACTAGTCAACGTCCAAATCGTCCGACACACTCAAAATAACAGGAAACGTCTTATTTATTCGAGCAATCGAGCAATTTATAAATAGTCAGGTAGTCAGGTCCATACTTAAACTTAAAGCGATCGTTCGTTTCGATTTTCCACTCGTTTAATATATCGTTTATGTCGCACATCCTTACTGGCACCGGCAACTCTAATATCGCACGCGTTATCACTGAAATCATCGCATTTAGGCAAATTGACTAATTACTTTTTAATATTGTATAATCCAACTGCATCAATATTACGAGCATTAATATTGATGATTTACCATGTAAAGACGAGGGATATTTACATTACAATATACAAGTAAATTTCATCTAATTTTAAATTAAATAAATCCATAGATTTTACATAAAATTAACAAACAATTCTTCATTACTGTTTCACGCACTATATTTATATATCAGAAGATTAAAGAAATTATTCTATAAGAAATTACAATATTTGCTTATTTAAATTATCTTTATAATTATTTCGAGGCAATAAACCGACCGTTGTTTATGATTTTTCATACCAATATCAAGATAATTTACTTTCAGGATTGTCAACTCGAAGCTCTCTTTTGGCCAACATAATTTTTTCGATTGATTCATAATCATCACATTTTTATATTGTTTATTATTCATATATATATATGTGTGTGTGTGTGTGTGTGTGCGCGCGCGCGCGCGTGCGTGCGTGCGCACGCGCGCGTGTTTTTTGTTTGTGTACACACACGTGTGCCCGCGCACGCGCTTATTTGAATGTATTACGATATAACTCGTATGTCCACTTAGTAATGTATTGCATATTAGCGTATGTAAACTTATGTTTTTGTGCAAAGATGGCCATTAACAATGCACATACTCAATTTTATTGAAATTATCAAGTGTTACAAAATCTTAATAGATTTCATTTAATTCTTTAATGCCCAACTCAATCGACTTATTAATGAATAATTAGCTTAGAATAAAAATTTTCATGAAATATTATGCAAGGCAGAGTTTGTAGCATTTCAATGCAAATTAAGTATTTAGAGAAAGAATGCTAGCTAAAGTAAAATTAATCAACTAGTCATTTAGTACGTAGATGTGTATAAAATATGGAGTTTATGATAAAAGGAAAGCACGTACGAATTTATGAATTTCTATAATGGCTGCCATCGTAATAATGTACGGCAAAAAAAAATAAATAAATAAAATAAATAAATAAATAAATAAATAAATAAATAAATAATAATAATAATAATAATAATAATAATAATAAAATTGCTACAATTACAAATGAAATATCAATTAATTTTCTTCCGTCATTATTAGAATTAAATACATTTTTCGCGTCTGACTTTTCGTTCTGGCGCTTATTGAATGTGGATCGAATGTCATCACGATTAAGGGGAATTTCAAAGAAAATGTTCGATTAAAAACGGTAGTAAATTGTAGCAAGAGTCTCTTCCGCTTTTTTCACGTGCGTCATCGTCGAACTCGGCGAATGCGATGCGATAAATGAAAGAAAGAAAAAGAAAAAGAAAAAGAAAAAGAAATAAAGACTACTGATCGGTCATGTGCAACTACACATAAATGCGCCAATTTCCAACTTAGGAGACGCTTTTCAGGTTTTGCTATTCATTTGTCATTGAGAATTGATTGGTATCGACACTATAATGAGAAGAAAAAAAAAAATAATAATAAAAAGAAAAAAATACGTTTAGTCATTGAATATCGTTTTGTACCCAGGGTGCATTACACTTATAATCGGTATAAATGGGAAATAATACATTTTTATATAGAAATGATGCTTATTCACTAAATTGCATTAATACATTTATTTTAAAAATATTACATTATTAAATTTAACAAGTATTACATTACGCCTCATGTTTTATTTCAACGTAATTTATCTTTAGCGATATTTCTTACCTTTTTTCTTTTTTTTTTTTTTGTGAATTATGCTTAACGATACATTGCCAATTGTCGAGATTTAAAAACAATGTAACAATATCAGCGGTTTTTTTTTCATTTAATTTTGCAGATTTTGCAAGAAACAAGAACAATTTCAATCGCTACTTGGATTATTTTGAATTAGACAGATAATTTTATAGGAACAATTAAAATTTATGAAATTTTAATGGGTTATCTAAGGAATCTTATTATCATATTAGAGCAACGAAATGTCAGTAAATTTTCCATAAAGTAATCTCGGTGTGCCATGAATTTTTGAATAGAAAGCGACGAATCTCTAATAAATAAGAGCAAATAATTAATTCCACATAAGGATTATGTATGTATAATGAAAAACTAGCGTAATACATTTGCCAAAAACTTGTCAAGCTACGGTTTCCTCTTCAATCGCAATTTTCTTAATTGCATACTATAATTTCTTTCGCATCCGTACCACATCGACTACCGTGCTCACACCGTCGTATTTTTCTGATTTAATTATGTATGCTATCTCTGTCTATCTCTATCTCGTAATACCGCATCCACATCTTGTCATGTTCCCCACGTATACACAAACATCAATTATGCACCAGATTCCTTATACCGTAATTTTACCTGCAGACTATAAAGGACACTGCACTAGTGCATTAAGCACTTGTGACTAAACGCGACTTAGACTCGTCAAGCCGTGAAATACTGTAGATGGACATTTTGAAGGAATACGTTTAATCGGATCCTGTAATACGGTGTAACTTACTTACTTCAAATCTATCGGCCACTTCCTTTCATCGTAGTACTGCCGGAAAAAATCTCTAGTTTCCTGGTAGTGTTTAATGATTCTCTTTTTTGCAGCGAATAGTCGAATAATATCCTGTTTGATATAATGCTATAATCAATTGATTGTTTAAAAATATTACGATGCTATATGAAGAGTTAAAAAAAAAGGACAAAAAAAGAAGAAGAAAAAAAGCATTGTTGAGAAAACAAATTTGGAGGAGGCGAAACATTATTTTGCGAGACAAATGATGGAATCACTATCACATCCACTTCTCGTACTTTTTACTATCCATTCGAAAATATTTTTCTGCATAATTATTTTTTAAGATTTTATAAAAAAAAAAAAAAAAAAAAAAAAAAAAAAAAAAAAAAAAATCAATTTAAAATTCGAAATATCAATATTATTCACTAGATATATTAAAATTTAAGTGTACATTTGTTTCTTTTATCTGCGCATTAATAAAACAAATGAATAATAAAATTACTTATAAGAAAGCATATGATAAGAAAGCAATGTGAATATTGAGTCTGTCTGTTTGGAAATGAAAAGAACGAGGAATGTAAAAATATACGGAAAAAAATAGAGATAAAAAAGGTATAATCAAAAGATTACTAGCATTGCGTGGTCCAGTTAACTGCATGGGTGAAAGAATGAAATACAAATACAAAACATGGAAAAAACATGTATTATCTTAAAACCTTGTCGTCAAGTACACGCACATTATCATATTCAAGTAGATTCAAGGCTCGAGAGGTTAATTTGTTTCCTAGCGCTTTACGTGCTTGCTTCGATCGACGCTCATTTTGGAAATATTCATTGCTTCCTCTGCCTTCGTTCAGTATTTTCAAAGAAATTTTAATAATAATAAA